ATTTCAATGGACTAATAACCAATGTAACGCCTTCGCTTAGTAAGGCGGGTAACTGATAGCAAAGAGACTTTCCACCACCCGTGGGCATTAAAACAAAACAGTCATGCCCTAATAATGCGGCGTTGATCACCTGCAATTGGTTGGGTCGAAAGCTCTTCAGACCAAAATTGTTGCTCAACGCTTCTTTGACGGCTTGCGAATGCGCATATTTAGTGCCATCGAACTCACCGGTAATACCATCATTATGTGTATCTGCATGAAAATTACCATCGATTTTTTGCGCCGGTTTCACGGGTGATAGATTGGAGGTTATCGCAATTGATGTATTAAGCTTCCGCATACTTGCAGCACTTGTTGATGGCATGTCATCACATTCATCCTCACTAAGCGTAATATTCGTTATCGGCACAACCGAACTTTTATTGGGGATAGACGATTTTGATACTGGCGAATCGAGCAATATAGCTTGTGAAGCAGCTATTTCAAATTTTTCAGGATCGTAAACTTGCCATCCATCATCGTCAGTTTGTGTTGACCATTGYTGCAAGTCTTCTGGCGATATTTCTGCCGACGGAAGGGCTACCGCTTTAGCATTTGTAAATTSTTTCGGCGTAGCTTTGTCTTCAAAATCTTTATACGAGTAATTGTTGTAATTTGATTTGCAACCACGTAGTAAATTATCATGATCCTTTATATCTGCTAGTAAAGCCTCCAGTTCATCTTCATCTGSTTTCGAATTTTGTGAAATAGATTTTTCTGTTGCTTCGTCATCTAAAGCGGCAGCTTGTGTCAAATAAATTTTTTGCAAATCTTCTTCGTCAGTATCATCGATGGTCAATATAGCWTCATTTTTATGACAATCAGGTGTTTTGGAAACATTCGATGAGGATGGTGTAATCGATACATTACTGTAAATGCTTTGAGGTGTGTTTGTTGGAGACTTTTCCAAATTTTGCCATTTGCATTCTTCACGCATCTGCATTTCTTCCTCCTCTAATGCATCGTAATCCAAATCCAAAGCAGGTGATTGCAGAGTTCGTATTTGCTTTTGTCGTTTTTCTAATTCTGTTTGGACAAGTTTTGAACGAGCTTTCAATTTATTACGCATTGTTTTTAACCGCAAATAAATGMATTTGTCAAAGCCATCGATACCATCGAAATAGTTTACAGGCACCTGATCCATAATTTGAGCAAATTTTTCCAATAAGTCATAATAAGAAGATTTGTAGAAAGTACTACYTGCTTTAAGCTCCAAATCTGTGGCCTTAAGATAAAAAAACTGTTATTAAAACAAGTATTATATGCAAAAAAAATAAAGTGTTGTAACGGCAAAAACATTTCCCATATATCTGACTTTTAGAAAAACCACAAAAATATCATATCTTTACTTACGTTTTTTGTACATATTTTAAACGTCGAATCTTGTTCGATCGTATTCAATTGATCGGATAGCGCTGTATCAATAATAATTTTTGGTTTTCTTGCAACAGTTTCATTCTCTTTACTTTTTTGAATGGCATCACAATTTTCATACTCACGATATAAAGGAATTTTTTTAGTATCGGAAGGTGAAATGATTTTTTTTGGAGTTGATTCCTTACTCGAATTGTTGGATCTAACTTCATACATAGATCCGATATCCTTAAACTCTGAGAAAACATCATCGAAGCCATTCGACATTCCGTCACCAAGTTTCTTTTGGCCATTTATTGCATTACTTTGTCTATCATTGCATTCCTTCGATCCATTTTTATAATCCTTTTCTTGATATATGTTTTTGTGTTCATCTATTTTATCGGAATATTTTTCATTTTTCTGCGAATAAATGCTGTAACCATTAGATATTGGTTTTATTATACTGTTCTCGGTGTTTTTTGGRTTCTTTTTATTTTCCAAAGGAGCAAGTGGTGATTGACTGCAGTCATCAAATATATAACGATGTACAATTGCCCTCGTTACACCAGCATTGTTGCTCTTGGCACAATTCGTACGACTSTCGTCGTCGTTCTCGTCTTCACTTGAGGAATCTACAAATATTGGGTTTAACATTTTTGTTGTTTGCTGTTTCCGGACTGGTGCATAAGCAAGACTTTTACAATTTTTATTATTTTTATCAACATTTTTAACCTCTCTAAATGATTGTAATGAACCTTCAGCAATTATATTCTTCTGTTCAGTCGATTTCTGCCCGGTATCACTATTTATGGAAGCTGAACGTGTCGTGTTTCCGTCTAAGAACGAACTCAACGATAATTGTTTTTTGAWCACCGAAGACTTGTTTGATTTTGTCTGACTCATATTAATTTAAATGTTATCTAAATTAAATAAATAATAGGATATACATAAACAATACTTTTTTGAGCTTAGAGCGGGAGTTTCTTCATTTATGGGTTTTTTGTTTTCCCTGTTGACATTTGCATTTTGCTCTGCCAGATTATTGTAYTTCAATGTTTTTCTATCTACCCGAATATATTTAAATATTTAAAAAAGTTGTATGTTAAACTTTGCACATATTAATGTTTTAAAAATTATTTGCTTTATTCATGTAATAACTATTACCAAATAATTTTCGTCTACGGGTCCGGTTATATTCCTAATATAATGTTCATCGTTGATATAATGCATTTTTTTTTTCAACTAAATATGTACAGATTATGCGTTAAACAAAAATAAATAATATAATTTAATACTTAATTGAATAATATGAGAGAATTAACATTAAATATCATGAAGTTAAATTTGCTATAAAAGGAGCAGTGGCAAAGTGAATACAGTGCAAAATGCATAAAATTCCATATTATCAAATACAACCATGTTTTACTTCCTTACCGACGCCTCATGTGAAGAAAATTATTTATWTTGTGATTCTTTCTTGTCAATAACTTGTTTAAGAATTATTTCATAGTATTTTTCTGCTTTCATGTTGAACGTTATTAACTAAATACTTGTATCAATATTGTTTTGCKCATATCAAACTGATCCGTTTTAACCTAATAATTTCATAGGGAGCAATCACAYAGCAAAATGCGAATGTAAGTAAAACTTATCTTAAGTAGAGAATAACCTGATCAATTGGTATGTTTATAGGCGCGAAATTTTTAAAACACCTGGTGAAAACTCCGAACCCGATGAATTGGATGAATTAGCGGATGTAGAAGATGTTGAAGATGCCGCGGTGTATGAGGTACATTTGGAGGAACCTTTCGAATCAGAAGACTCTGAAGTCGAGTATGGAATCGCAAATGGTAGTGGCAACATAGCGAACGGACAACAATCGGATGCAGAAGACTCAGACTWCGACCCAAATGTTGATGAAGACGAAGACAGTTCAGATTTTCATCCAGACGACTCGGATGATTCGATGTCAGATACTGGTAATCAAGAAGYTATAAGAAAATCCAAACCAAATTCAGGCGATGATACCGGTCCAGGTTCAAGTGGTGTTGGTAGAAATAATGCCGGTGCAGATGGAGTTAGTAGCGCATTAGAACTTAATGAAGATGAAGAAGATGATGAAACGGTCCGAGCCATAATTGCGGCCATTAAAAAACCTCGTACCGCACCACCAGAAATCAAATTAGATGATTTTATTACCGATATTTGTTTTCATCCGGAACGTGACATTATAGCACTTGCAACGATTACAGGAGATGTATGTCTATATGCCTATGCAAATGAAGAAAATACACTGCTACGAAATATTGAAATACACGCAAAATCGTGTAGAGACGTTGAATTCACAGAAGATGGCCGTGATTTACTAACATGTTCCAAAGACAAATCCATTATGATAACCGACATGGAGACAGAGAAGCTAAAGAAATTCTATGAAAGTGCACATGATGAAGCTATAAATAAATTGCACATCATTGATGAGAACCTCTTCAGTACTGGTGACGATGGGGGTACAGTTAAACTTTGGGACATACGAACTAAAGACTCTATATTTTCGTTAAAAGAAGTTGAAGATTTTATATCACATATGCTCACAAACGAATCAAAGAAATTRTTATTAGTTACAAGTGGTGATGGCTATCTTACAACAATTAACATASGATCACGTAAGCTGTTTGTACAATCTGAACCGTATGAAGAGGAACTTCATTGTATGGGTACATTTCGTGGCAATTCGAAACTAGTCGTGGGTACATCGAAGGGTCGTCTTTATACATTTAATTGGGGTCAATTTGGCTATCATTGTGATATGTATCCAGGCATTAATACGCCAATCAGCGAAATGATACCTATTACGGATCGTATTGCTTGTGTTGCGGGTGAAGAGGGTATAATACGTGCTTGCCATATAGCACCATTTCGTAATCTGGGTGTTGTAGGACAACATAATATGCCAATTGAAAATTTGGACGTTTGTAATTCTGGTGAATTGATTGCCTCATCGTCACATAATAATGATGTACGTTTTTGGAATGTAAAATATTTTGAAGATTTTGGTGACATTAAATATAATGAAAAGCATAACACATTTAAGGATAAGCGCCATAATTTACCATCTTCGAAATTTACAAATGCTGGTGACTTTTTTGCTGATTTGGCAAAATCTCCTAGCGATGACAACGAATAGAAATGGTACGTTGAAAATATAAAAATAAAATATGAATTAATGTATAAGAAATTTGCTGTATGTATTGTAAATTTTTGTAAGAAAATTGTGTTTAATTATAGAATAATTAAAACGAATTGCMCTTCGATTTATTTTGGGGCGAGATGTATGATGGTTTATTAAATTTTTGTTCGAATAACTTTTTCTAGCGACTAATGTATATACACATGTATGCAAAACTAAACTGAATACGAAAAAAAAAAAAAAAAAAAAAAAACAAAAAAAAAAAAAAAAGGATCCACAACAACAACCTATATCCAAACAAATACTACCATAGACCTCACTGCGTGTATCTAAATCATTTATGCATTGCGCTATCATCGTGTTGTGTGTGCATATGAATTTTATAATATTATCATTTTAAAGAAACCGCAATATATTTGTGTTTTCAAAATATTACACATTTTATTAAACTGCATATTTATACATGTTTCATTCTCAATTCACAGTTACAAGCATTCTTTTACTCATCACTTAGTATGTTCTAAAAATTGTAAATTCCGAAAGTACATACACAGTTGGGTGTTATATGTGTATGTGTGCATATATTTTCTTTGTAAATGTGTTATTTTTACGAGRATATGATAATGAGAATGTATGATTTCTGTTAGTGCTTGTGTAGTTTTTGCTAACTTTTTTTTTTCAAAAATGTGTTTTCTGCTAAGGGATTCAAAATGGAATAAGCGTGACATTTCTGCCCTTTTCAACTAGGTTAAAATAGTTAATGAAAACAAGCCAAAACACTTGTTAAAAAATAATAATAATACTTACAATAAATATGTATATTTAACAGTGTTTTGTATTTATAATTTAATTTTTATTTAGAGGGTTTCTTGAAAATTTGGAAGAATCAGACATAAATAAATGGTGTATGTATTTGTGTTCGTTAATAAATAAAGCTTTTTATAAGTTCGTTTAATAAATGTGTGATTATGAACGAATAGATATGTAAACTTGTATATAATGTTGCAATTACTTATATACAAATTTAATATATATAAATACTATTAGTTTTACATTTTTATTAAAAACCAACCATTTTTTCCTACCTCTTCTCTGCTAATGTTATATTTTTTGAGGATAAGTTGTCGTTTCCTTCCTATAAATTGCCTTTTTCTTGCTTAAAGAATTATATATTATATTAAATTTTCGTTGTTTATGTAAGCAGCTTTATTTTTTATTTAAAAAACATTGAGATTGTGCTTCAATGTGTATTAAGACCAAGGTTTAGTATTAAAGAAATTGTTGGATATGAATTGAAAAACTGTTATATTTTTAAACTAATTTGCATATTTAATTGTAAAAATAAAACTTGTTTCTTACAAAACCGAATTAAATCGAGAAGAAAACACAAATTATTTTATGGCTGTCTTAATCACAAGCATAAATTATAACATAAGCAGCAAAAAAATGCTTAGCTGCACAACGATTGGTAAAATAGTAGTAGTAGTTTTAATAATATAAATATTTAATACTTAGTTTATAAATAATTTGTATTCCTTTGGAAGGTAAGCAGATAAATTGCACGAATTTAGTTTCTAATATATAAATATATATTATATGTATATGTCTATGCGTATATTCATACATATAAGAGCTATATAGCTGCATATAGTTATGATTATACATATCGTTTAAATTATAATTTTATTAATAATAATTTTTACTTCATAGCTATGATTTACACAGCTGATAATTAAAATACGAAAATTTGTAACGCAAAATCTTACAGTAAGAAATACGAAGACATAAACTTTTTGGAATGACCAAAGCTGAATCTTTCACCTCACTATACACTTTATTTGCACTGAATTGAGAMAAATACAGTTAAACATTAGTAAGCACAGTATGCAATTATATATATTTTCCATACAAATTGCGAGTATACAAAATGAAAACTATTAAAAAAAAAGTCGTAGTACGGCTAAATCAAACACATGTTCGAATGTATGAGCAATGTTAAATATTCATTGCGCGTGCGCATAATGCTAGCGCCTGTGCATTGTGATGTCTGTCCTTCTTCTTTGTCTGATATGTAATATTTATATTCAAATAATTTCAAGTAACGTGTCATTTAGCTCCCACTTGTGCTTTCTATGAAAATGGAAACAGAAGCGATACTTTTTTAACGTCGCAAACTTATCGCATTTATTGGAAGCTTCGGAAAATGGCAATGTCGCAAAAGAGCTGTTCATTCTTATATGCAATTTATTTTGCTACAAAGTTGCAACTGCTCGAGACAATTTTCAGTGGTACTCAACGACTGTTTACTCTTTTATCGCATTAAACAACTGCCACTTTGTCGCTATTACATAAATGCCACATGAAATTAAATTGGTGCCCTAAATATATTTTGTGCAATTTTAATTCGATATTCGATATTTCAAAATAATAAAAGATCAAGGCATCATGATAGCTGCATATGGAATTGTTAGTTTAATATTGTGTCTGTTAAATTGTGTGTATGTACTTTCAAGACTTGCCTGTAACTCGCAATTCTTTTCTCTATACTGTGCGTTCAATTTRAAACTTTCGGTTAGTCGTTTCATTATCTTAATATTATGTTCACTATTCAATTTATATTTCTGTTCACTGCTTATCTACTAAAATATTATCAATAAAAAACAACTTTGAGTGTGAATGCTTAGCACCCTTAAAAAATTGCTACCAAAAGGGACAAAATATTCCCACAACCAAGTAAAGGACGGAAAACTTTTACAACTACATACATGCACATAGCTTGGTGCAAAGTCAGAACTCCTCACTTAACTCGGCTGTGGGTTTAATGCTTTATTCTATGATTTACACAGTTTTCCACTTTTGCCGGTTTTAAGCACTTTGTGCTAACATTACAGCCTATAGCCATTACTACCGCCCGCACCACTACTACTGCTACTCACAGCACTGCCGTGTGATGTGGATGCCGTCGTCGCTGCAGCTGCCTCTTGCATAGCTTTCTGTTTGGCTCGTCGATTTTTTTGTCGCGTATGCTCGATTTGAAAATCCTCGACACGTAAATTTAGCCTTTGTATATTATTGATAATAAAATCCTCTTCGAGCACATGCTCAGGTGGTGAGCGTAGCACCTCTAATGTTTCACAAAGTCCATTACATTGTTTGCGAACTTTGTGTTGATTTAGTGAAGCACCAATTATCACTAGTGCTACTTTGAAGATGACACGTATGCCTTCGGCGAGAAAGCAATCCCAAACTCGCAACAGTGTTTCCCATGGTAATGTTCTTGTCATAGCGCACAGAAACCAATCGGTCATATAGAGTAAGGGTTCGACTTTGTGCTTTTGCAGGTGACGGTATGCGGGTGGACAAGTTTTTTTGAGRAGCCCCTCCAGTATGCCAGCATCGTTTTGCAGCACCTCAAGACCAGTAATGAAGTAGTCTTCTAAGTAACTACAAAGAAATAGGAAAGCAATATTATTAAATTTGTATGTATAAAGGGATTATGAGACAAATATAAGCAACATTTAAAGTAAATTAACTTAARTTGCATATTTGTGTTGTTGTAACTGTACCACTAAAGCATCTAGCAGCCATAAGTTCCCTTTTTTCATMGAGCCGAGGACATCAACAAAAAAAATTCTTTTGCACAGAAACAACAATAYAACAGCCATAAAAACTGTATCAGTAAGGATAATTTTATATTTGACAAGATATCATGAAATTTGGTACACATTATTTTCTATTGTTTTAGAACTACAGTTCTACACTATTTGAACAAATTTTAATATCAGACCGTTATACATAGCTTATACTGCCATGCAACCTGACCGATCAAACTCAAATCATTGTATGGAAATCATTTTTTAATTTACGAGATATTTCACAAAATTTTGCATAAAATATTGCCCAATTGCTACAATCTCTGAATAAATTTTTCAGACCGGACCACTATATCATATATCTGTCATACAAACTTTCCGATCAAAATCAAGTTTTTGTTTGAAAAGGGTGCAACCGAAGTTGACGTTTTGTCTTGTTTCCTCTTCATAAACATGTGCCAGAAAAAAATGCGAAAAGTTGATTATTTTTTTTGATGTTAATATGATTGATTTTTTAATAATGATTTAAAATGCTACTTACACATCACAAACRCTAACAAACACCCAAAACGCATCTTCTGCCGGTAGGTGCATAAGCAGGAAGGCAGCAATGGGCGCTTGCGCCTGACAAAAGCCCACTTTCGGATTGTATATTGAATACGCTTTTAGTACATTAAATAATTCRATTTGTCCAACTTTATCCTCATCCAAAAACATTTCATGAAATGGAAATTGCCGATGTTTGTCTTTTTTTATCTCTTCGATTACATGTGGATTACCGGGCTGTTCAAGTAGTTCTTTGTAGACTGTAGGATTTTTCTTTTTTAATAAATAAGCACCAGAAAGATAGAACCAAGCTCGTGGGCGAACCGATTTTGGTATACCTTTGCGACAACGATCACGAATCTATAAATTAATAAAAATGGGAACATTATATCTATTTCTATAAATTAGGAAATTATGTAAACAAAATACATGCCTTTTTGTAATTTTTGGACATATACAATGACCAATTATCAATCATATACAACCACTTCTTTTCTCTCGCGATGATTTGTGCTTTCGAGAGTGGTTCTTTAGGTTTTTCTGTGCGCTGAAAGCCRCCGTAAAAACCGTTGCGATCCGGGCAACTGGAAACGGTGGAACATAGTGATATTGTGTCAACGGAGCGTGGTGATGTCGCCATTATTATAAACTATAATACAACAACAATTTTAAAACTTCGTTATGTACAAATTTAGATGAAAAATTTAAATTAATAAATAAATTTAAGTATTAAAAACATATACGGTCAAATTCTTAGTAGTGCTAGGCATTCTTTTAATACATGTAATCATACTTTTTTATTACATATTTTTTTGTAATTCACTTTAAAAGAATCAGATGTCGACATGAAAACATGCAACGACTTGTTTCACTTAACTTGTTKTTTTTGTTACATTTGCGATACTTTTTATTTTCAAAGTATTTTCGGCCTGTCAAAATCTTAGTTTCACGCACTACTAGAAGTGTTTAAAAAAAAAAATTTCATACAAAAATATAAAAAAAACTTAATCGAAGTCCAAAATATTTTTGATAGTCACTCACATTGGTACGTAAGAAATGAATGTCAATCAATGTCCCCTGACATCAACCCCAGCGAAAATTTTTGGACTAATGTCAAGGAGTCAGTAGCTCGATGTAAGCCGGCATCGACCACGCAACTTTGGGAGATTGTGAAAAAMGTATGGGAGTCTATTTCCAAAAACTTGTTGACTCATGACGCTSTGTTGCAATATTAAAAAATTAAGATCACACAACTGAATGCTAATTACATAAAGAGGCAATATCCAATTTGAAAAGAAAATTCTTTTAAATATTTTACTACCTTTTTGTGGAAATTTTGGGTGCAATTTGTTACAMTACTAAGTTTTTGACCGCTGAAATTCCTCATAAATTTTTTTAATATATTTATAATTCAGTGACACTAGTTAAACAATGATTTTTTGTTATTTGTTTTACTAATTGTTGGGGCTCTTATGGTATAAAATATTTTTTGTTTTACAAAGGTGATATCGCATACTTTTTAACACTCCCTCTTTTACGTTTGCACGCTACTAAGAAATTGACCGCAGCTGTATATATTTTCTAGTTTTATTAATTTTAGAAAACGTGCATCATACACGCAAATAATACATATTTAGAAATAAATCRATTCAAGTCATTAAAAATTTTGAATCAATTATAAATGTGCAAATGTATTTGCTATATTATATATTTGTATTCTATGCACAAATGTATGTATGTATGTGCGGGCACGTAAAATTTTAAATTGATGCTGAGCATCTGTAGTACTACCTCCCACTGTTAAMTGTGTGTTTCGGATGCAGCGCCAGAATCCATAAACTGCGCCGCAACATATTACAAAGGGCGTAGAATACTATGTTGTAATTTTTAAAGTGATATAAGCCAATGTTTAATATAATATGCAAATATTTAAGTTTTTATTCTCAATATTATTCCAAAAGCCTTGTTTAAAGATAATGGTTAATATGCAATTGTGAAATTTAAAAATTTATAAAATATGAGGCAATTGGACATATTAGCGTTTTTTATAGTCAAATTTGTTGTATAACTAATATAGRCACTTATCAAGCTTTGTGGTAGCGTTGCAACACCTCACCCGCAATGATATCTAAATATATACAAACAATACATACATATTTATATGTATAGGCACACAAATGCATAAACATACTTATGTGTAATAGTTTATGCCTCCTTTAAATATAATTGCCAATTTGAAGACTTAAAAGGAAGCTTGTTGCTTCAATTGCGTTTACTAAACAGACGTCTTGAATATTAATGTCTTTACTATTGGGTTGATTTCAACGTAATTTTAATAGAGCCGAAAGTTGAGGGGAACAATAATATAAAACTTCAAATATTGCAAATATGTACGTACATAAGTATAAAATTATGTATGTATGTATGTATGTCCTGATGTTAGAAACCAGATTTAATTTTACTTTCGTAAGTTAGTTCCTATAATGCTTCTCCAAATATGCAATAAACAGACAGATTTCGTCTCAGCTCATCATGCTGATCATTTATAGATATACTTTATCCGCTCCTACGACAGTAGAGTCTACGTAAYCGGAACCTGGCACCTTCGACGTTTCTTTCTGGTTGTTACAAACTTCGTTGCAAGTTTAATATACCCTGTCGTGGTATAAAATGCTAAAAAAAAGTGGTATAAAGTGCAAAAATTGCAATTTTCGAAAACAAGTCCAGGACGCCAAATCTATAATTTTTTAGGCATAATACTTATACCATAATATACCAATAATATCAGTACACTAAAAACAAAAATACATATGAAAATATTAAAGAAAATAAGTTATCGTGGTAGGTGCACGAACACAATARATGTGTTATCAACATGAGACCCACCTGAACGCATGTATGAACTTTATTACGCAAAGCATAAAAATGAGTAACAGTTTGTTTTGTAGATAAATTTATCACACGATAAGTCCACCTTTTACATACCTATACGACACACACAAAAAATAGTGATCATTCCACATAAACCCACTTATAATCGGGAATATTTATACGTAGGCAYTTGCAAATGAGAAACTAGTAATATCAACTAACATCTACAAATCAAAACGCTAAAATAATTCAATATGACGTTACCATTAGCGTAGTGAGCGAGTTTATTTACATTAGGCGATACCCTTTCCAAAAGCGCCACTAGCGCCCCATAAACAACTTAAAAAACAATACAAAGAAATACGTGCACACATTACCATATAATCACCCACATACCTGTGTTGTAACACTACCGTCTGGAGCGCTGCTTACTTTTTTCGTTCCAGAATCTTGTATTCTTTTCGATGCAATTAATTTAGGATATTTAAATTTATACTATTATTTATATGTAGGGAATTTATGACAATATTTCCGGGCGCCACTTTCTCATTTTGCTTATTGGAATTTCTGTTCTGTCCTGTTCTTCACTTAATAGAAAGACGAAGTTAAAAACCAATTGGAAAATAAAAGCGTAGGTTCACTTTTACAAAGGTATGCACGAAACTTGTTTTCTTTTTGGAATTTTGTTCTCACATTCCCTTCTTTTCATTCTAAATGGACACGTTGCACAACACCACTTTTTATGCTCTTTTTATTGCAAAATTTATAATTTATATCTGTTTAATATATATTAAATGAAGGAATTTGTACAAACTTAAATATATACACTCCTTCCGATTTTCTTTAATTTTACTTTGTGGCAATGAAAAAGTTGACAATTGCTTATACGCAGGGTTGCTCCATTTTTGTATACCATATATTATTTGCAGCTGGCAGCGAACAGCGAGATTATGATCGTGAACGTAGATTTGTTTGCTATTTTCTCGTAATGTACGGTATTTGAATAATATATAAATATATCAAAAATGCTTTAAAATTTATTTATTTTCACCTCATTGAAACAATCTCATATACTATTTTAATATGTTATCCTAAAAATATCAATATTAAAATCATATGGCAATATTATGTATAAAAATGTCAGATTTCTATTTGACATTTTTCATTACATTTAACTTAGACGCTTTGTGGTATATTGTTTTTCTGGTATAAACTCCGCCACGAAATCTCTTAAAGTCTMTTAATTTGTTTATTTTACTAGTTGAAATGGCGATGGATCTGGAGAAAATCTGTCGAACTTGTTTAGGTCTTGGTGGTCCATTACTTTCTATATATGATGGTGGTGGGGGCAGTGGATGTATCGCTGATATGCTACGAGATTTTACTAAAACTAAGGTATGACTGGTCAAATGATATTATTTGCTAATTTGCTATAAAATTCTTATTATCCCCTGTATAGCCACGACGAGAAGATAGACTGCCCGAAAAGGTTTGTTTATCTTGTATTAGCGAGATTAATCGTTGCTACTCATTTAAGTTGAAATGTGAGAACTCGTGCAGAACACTGAGGCAACTGGTACCTGATGCGCCTCCAGAAGAATCGCAAGAAGAGCTATCAAAAGTAAAGGTAGTACAAGTTAATAAATGTGTGCAAACTAATGCTGATGTGCCGAAACAATTTACTACTGTTCATACACAAACAAAAGAAAACGTGGTTTCGCAGACTAACCGGTATGTGCAAACGATACCAATATGTAATATAACACATAACAAATCAACGTCCCCGATAAGTGTGAAACCAAATAATACCTTAAGATTTGATAAAATAAAATTGGAAAAAACTTTAGGAGTTGAATTTGGCGAAGAAATTGAAATTGTCGAAAGTAGTAAACTTCAGCGCCGAAATAATGTGCAACACACTTTAGCACTCAAGCGCCGTCGAATAGATGAATGCTACGAAGAGGTTGGAGAAGATGGAGAAGAAATTATTATGGAATTGCATACCGATGATCCGGATATTGTTGATAATTCAGAAGGAATTACATTATATTCGACACTGAATGCCGCCGTACAGGATACAGAAGAAGTTAACGATGATACAACGACGTATTATCAGCTAACTCATTCACAATCAGAAAATGAAAGTGAAATCGGAAACGTTGTTGCAAATAATGAGAATATCATTAGCGAAACGAGTCAATTGCGAGATTGTGATGAAGAATTTGATGAAGACGGTGTTTATGCACGATTTATATATACCGCAGAAGAAAATGAAACATTTAATACTGGCGATGGCAATACTCAATCCGAGGATTACAATTTCACAATTTTTAAAAATGATACTGGCGAAGCGGAAGTCTTAGCAAAGTCCACAGTGACAACGCGATCATCATCAAAAGCGACTGAAGTAAAAAATATTCGTTTGCTTAAAGACGAGCTAAAGTGTTGTTATTGTCCGATGACATTTGTTAGTTCTAAGCGCTTAGCACGACATGAATTAAAGCGACATGCGAGTGAACAAACACGCAAAGAAAATGAATCGATTTCTGAACAGGAACCATCTAAGTCAAAGGTAAGGAAAAATTATTGCGTTATTTATTATAATTGCAAATATTTTTGTTTTCTTCTGCGTCATTAGGTCATCTTAGAAAATTCGGAAATGAAGAATGAAGATAAAAATTTAAATATAGCCGAAACGGCACTTATAAAATCCTCAATCTCAAGTACGTTGCAACCGATTGTACAGAAGACACAACCGGCTAAATTGATTCACTTCTGTGAGACTTGTGGAGCCGGTTTTGCGCTAAGAAGATCGCTAGTTCATCACAAAAAGCAAAATCTTTGCAATAAAACAACCTTTGATTGCGACAAGTGCCGACGTGTTTTCATTTCGGAAGAGACATTGAAGGAACACCTACTAACACATTTGCAAGATCATGAATGCACCGAATGTGGCAAGCAGTTTGGCACAAATGATGAACTTGGTCAACATATGGTAGATGAGCATAAACGTAATTTACGCAATCAATGCCCCATTTGCAAAAAAGGTTAGTGTGAGAGAATCATTTTTTATATATATTATTATATTTTCTTATTTATTTATATTTATACTCTCGCAACAAAGTTGCTAAAGAGAGGATTATAGTTTTGTTAACATAACGGTTGTTT